TATATATATATATATATATATATATATATATATATATATATATATATGTGTTTGTTTTTTTTTAAACACTGAAAACACTGTCAACTATTTCAACATATTTTAACTAGTGCAATGTTTCCCCTACCAATATACAAGCAGGGCGCCCCACCCTGTCAACAGAACTGAGTGCCCTGCCTACTGAACTCACTCCCACACACACACACACGCACGCACGCACACGCCGAACCTGGTAATATTCACACATATCAGAATTATTGGCGACAAGGATTGGATCTTTGAGCTGGAAGACACAGAGTCAACAAATGGAGCATTGAGGCAGCTGAAGGCCGGGGGTTTAAAAAAAAAACAAAACTACAAAATGGCGTTTGGGAAGCCAGGGGATTTTCACTTCAAGCAAAGTGAGGAAAGCTTTTACAGTTACTGTCAGTGTCTTGAGCAGTATTTTGCTGCATACAACTTGGCCACTGAAGAAGAGGAAACTAAGTCAGTGTTTCTCAGTGTGGTGGAGAGGTCACATAGCTTGCTAATGGATTTATGTGAACCAGATAAACCATCTATGAAGAGTTGGTGGACCTGTTGCAAAGGCATTACATACTGAAAACTAACTTTATTGCAGAGAGGTGCAAGTTTCACAAGAGAAACCAAAAGACAATGAGTGTATGTGGCTAGTTTAAGAAAGTTAGCAGCTACTTGTAAGTTTGGGACTTTCTTAGATTAAGCAGTCAAGTCAAGTCACATTTATTTATATAGCACGTTTAAAACAGTAACCGTTATCAAAGTGCTTACCAAAAAAGATCACAGCATCAAATATTAACAACAACATATTACAGCAACATGAATAAAAGCATAAAAACATTAAATATAATGAGAAACAATGAAATACTAAATCAAATCACCCCGTGTTAAATGTCAGGGAGTAAAAGCAAAATGGATGAACACAATCATCATCAACAACGAAATACCAAATGAGATCACACTGTGTTAAATGCCAATGAGTACAGATGTGTTTTGAGGAGAGATTTAAAAATAGAGAATGAGGTGGCCTGTCGAATGTTGATGGACAGATTATTCCATTATTCCATTATTATAATAGATTTGTCTGTGGGGTTAAGAGCAGCAAGCTGAGGGATCGCCTGCTCAGCGTTGTGCCGTAAAGACCTGACCCTGCTGCTCACTGTGGAAATTGTGCTCTCTTTTGAAATAACGAAGGGACAGTACTCAGGAAAGAACAGAAAACTTTCAAGGTTCATATGGTGGACATGAAATCTAAAGCAAAGCCCTGCAAAGCTAGCAAAAATCTAGGCATTAATTCCTTGATGGTCTAAAGTATTTGCCGATCGTAACAGACACACATTGAGGATAAAGTTAGACAGAATTATTAAAAAAAACTACTTTGGGGGGGGGGGGGGGGATTGAATGTCTACTGGGAAAAAAAGCAGCTACATGCTCTGGTGTAAGGTGCAAAAAACTGTTACTTCTAACTTTTGGTTACAGTGTATCGTTTAACAGAATTGTTCAACACCAGTACGCTGGTGGTGTTCCCTTGGCTCTCACCATCCCTCTCGAGAGAGAGAGCACTATTGATCTGGAGCCAAGGGGAGCATGGATGATCACACACACACGTACTAATAGTCCACACACACAGTAACAACTGCATGTTCCAGCAGTTTGATTAAACGCTGCTTTCAATCAGTAGGTTAGTTGTTCAAACAAAAGTTGGTGGCTCTATCTATGGAGAGACAGTTGTGTGCATGTGTGTGCATATATTGATGTGAATGTGCACATTGTTGAGGGAACATGACCAATGGCCATTTAACACCATCACTTAACATGCCGTTGATGTTTCGACCTTTCTGAAGGCCAAAAGAGAGATAGCAGCAGCTCTGTGGTAGTTCAGACTACCTCAGGAATACATTTTTTTCCACAAGCTAATGTGCAAAAAGACTTGACAGCAAAACTGAAGAAAATCTACAACTATTAACACCTGCATCTCTACATAAAATGCATTCAACTAAGGCCCAGTTTACAGATGAACGATCTCTGGAAATTTTTTCCTATGTTGATTGAGAAAAAAAATGTTTATACTATAATGCTGTACTCATTAAAGCCACTGTGGGGTTCATGTCAAAGCACTGTATGTTACATGCAGACGCTGTAATTTTTGAGTCTCAGGTCAAATAACCAGATAAATAACTACTAGTAGATAACCAAATATATGATAGCTAGACAGACAGACTGATGGGTTGATGGATGGATGCTAGTATACTTCCACAGTGCTTCACCAAGGTGGTCAGGCTACAATCAGGATATCAGAAAGTGTTCTTTAATCTTGAAAACCTGCTTTTGGCAAAAACAAACAGACATTTTTATGCATTTTGTCTATATTCATCCATTTAACGCTCCTAAACCAAACAAGTGTGTATGTAATGTACTGTTCAGTTTTGGTACATAGTCCCATCATTAAAAGTGCTCCAGCAAATCTGCCATCTGTAAAATGTCACTGGTTCCAAATCAGTAGTGTGGAAGCATTGAGGTGTGATTATATTTTTTAAATGCCTCCTTTGACCTTTTATCCTCTTCTTTCTCAATTTCCTCAACTCTGTTACTTTCATTCTGAGATTTTGCTTTTGGAAATTTTAATTCCTCTTTTTCTGGATGTAAAGCACAATTTTTTGGATGATTGTTTCCTCTGGTATCAGATGCTGTGCAGCTGGAAGGATTTTTACTGAAACTTTTTTTTAGTTTTGGACATTTGTTATGATGCATAACCATGGCAACAAGGCAGTTTTCTACAACCAACAGCAGCTGATTAACATCTCAAAAGTTCAAATAATATCTCAACTACAGCCCCAAATCTCAAATGAGTTGAAAAGGATGTTCTGTGGACGCATTCTCATCTACCTGCCAGCTGTGCTTGAGTGCCTGACCACTGAGATCCTGGAACTAGCAGGAAACACGGCTCATGACAGCGGAAGGACAGGATCGTCCCTCTGCACCTACAGTTGGCTGTCCACAGCGACGAGGAGCTCGGCAGACTGCTGAGAGGAGTGGCCATCACTCTGGGAGGAGTTCTGCCCGGCATTCGGGTGGTCCTACAGCCCGGGGGAACCGAGAGGCCAGCCGAGTCTGGGTGGACGGATCGGACGGCATCTGCAGCCAGTTTCTTAGGATCCACTGTGGGATGGACCTTTACAAGAGATCCTTCCTGTCTACAGCCATCAGTATCTATAACATTTCTTAATGAAATGAGGATAACGAGTTAGAACAACAAATAATTTCCCTTTGGGATTAATAAAGTATTTTTGAATTGAATTGAACTCTGATAATTAGACTTCAGACTTCACAGAGTCGCATTTGAGGTCTGATCCTGTTTTTGTCTCATGTTCTAGTCAAACTCCCAGTGAAACAAAAACACACCAATTTTATGTACAAATATCCCAAACCAATATAAAAAAATCCTACAGTCAACATG